AAGGAGGAATGGGAGCGAATCCCAGAATGTGCATATCTAAATTAATAAAGATGATATTGATCAAGCTTGAAACTAATACTAAAATATGCCCAATTATTATATAAGTTTTCGAGTACAAAACTGTCCGGAGACTTTGTCTACCCACTGTATATCGTACATATGTATTAGTTTGACCATCGTAAGCCAGAACAGTTTAAACAATTGTCATTTTTTTTGCACACCACCACTCTCATGTATAAATGCTTCGCTTTCAAAGCGAATTTTAATTCGTAATTGGTTCAAATTGAAATACGGTACGGAGATCGACAATTTTATCTTTTTTTTATGGGCATGATAATCATAAGAGAACAGCTCTCAAATATCGAAATCTCGTAAATATCAAAACAACAAAGCTTCTCGTCTCTCATATTATCACTAGTAATGACTGTCCCTCATGATGTCAAGATTGGTGTCATCGGTGGAACAGGCCTGTATAAACTGGATCATCTAGAAATAATCGATGAAATATACCCAGATACCGTAAGTCATATATTAAACAACTCATTTCTAGACAACTGAACCTCATTCGTTTCTCTTATCGCCTTCTTTCTCAAGCCGTGGGGCAAGCCGTCATCGAAAATAGTAATAATCTCCACACACACAGGTCTCAATATAGCCTTTCTCGCTCGTCACGGAGAAGGTCACATATACAACCCAACGGAAGTACCCTCTCGCGCAAACATAGCAGCGTTAAAATACATTGGAGTTCAAGTAATTATTGCATTCTCAGCGGTCGGATCGCTTCGTGAAGAAATTAAACCACGTGATTTTGTTCTTCCTGTTCAAGTTATCGATCGAACCAAGGGCATCCGTCCACATACCTTCTTCGAAGATGGTATGGCTGGTCATGCTTCTTTTGCAGACCCTTTCAACGAAAAATTAGGGAAAATCATTGCCTCGCATGCAGGTGCATTGGACAATGCTGCATTGCATCTGGATAAGACTTTAATTTGTATGGAAGGACCAGCATTCTCTACTCGAGCCGAGAGCCATTTGTATAGATCTTGGGGATGCGATGTGGTTAACATGTCTTGTATACCCGAGGCGAAATTAGCCAGAGAGGCCGAAATCGCTTATCAGATGGTCTGTATGTCGACCGATTACGACTGCTGGAAGACTGATGTAGAGGTCGTTACCGTAGACACGGTCATACAAAATTTGCGTGCAAACGGAGAGAATGCGAAAAAGTTGTTGGTGGCTGTGTTGGGTGATCTCGAGAAAGAGATCAAAGAAGATGGATTTAAAGATATTAGAGGAACGATGAAATTTGCTGTTATTACAGACAAGGGCAAGTGGACTGAAGACGCAAAGAAGAGATTGGAATATTTGTTGCCTGGGTATTATACATGAGTTGTTATAGGGGAAATAAGAGGTTTATATTAGTACGACGGCCTGTGTTTTACGTCATGACATTTATGCATCATTGGCTCTACCCTTCAAAGGTTGAATAAACAATATGATGCTTTGCAACCGCATATTATCAACTCCCAACACGTGTAATCCTTTGCAAGAATCTGATTCTGATAGCGCAACAGTCGTAGGCAATGCCTGATGAATTCAACTCTGTCAATCTTGAATTACAAAAAAGATGTAATAAATACTTGACAGAATTGAATAGATTTAATGTGTGTATACAAACCTGGATATAACGAAGAAAAATGTCTGTATCGTCTCCTTTGTTAGTTCCAAATGGACGTATGCGTAATTGCTCCTTTTCAGCTAATAAGCAAGGCGTTGTATTGTAAAATCAAATATGCTGGGCCCAAGAAAAAGCGAGAGTTTATGTAATCTTTAACAAGCTATTGAAGATTGTGCTCAACAGTGCAAAGATGAATACTCTTTGTTCGTTGCTGAAACAATACTATAGTTTGATGAGCAGCAAAAAACTTGTTACTTATTAATGTATGGGTCACGTAATAACACGTTTAATTACGCACAATGTACTAGATAATAGATTATCACATAAATCTCAAAGCGTGAATCACATATAAATACCTTTCTCTTTCCCTATCACTATAAAGCTTACAATTAGCGAAAAACAAATACGTAGTCTTCCCTTTGACACGCGCTTGCAACTTGCAAATAATAAAGTATCTTTATTTTTTTAATTTGGCTGATTCTGATATTTGGTTTTTCACGGAATATCATGAGCGAAACATTGAAAGCCTATTCAGCCTACCTGTTGACCCAAATCGGGATTTGACTATCCATAATAAGCCATATCTATTAACTTGGAGTGGAAAGCGAACTCTGGCTCTGGCAAGATTTAGATTCTAGTAACTAATTTAGTGTTAGCTACTATAGATGCGAGATCACGAGGTAAATATCTGATTATTTCACGGGGAATCCCATTATTATTATTATGAGACTTGTGTGTCACCAAACAAAATTATACCTTTTTTTTTACACAAGCAAACCAAATAATAGAATAAAGACTCGTTATGACATCAAAACCAAACGCCGAATTTGACGAAGCCTCGCAGCGTGAACTCGCTAAATTCCTCGAGGGTGAGAATGCAAGAATGCGACTTCACCAATCTATTCACCAGTTTACTGATCTTTGCTGGGAGAAATGCATAACGAAAATAAGCGGGAATAGACTTAGTTCGAGCGAAGAAACCTGTATAGTTAATTGCGTTGAACGATTTGTGGACACGTCTCTTTACATCGTCAAGAAGTTGGAAGAGCACAAGAATCAAATGTAATTATGTGTTAACGGTATCCTTAAAACACCGCAGCGAAGGTTAGTACACGGAGACCATGATTGTTGAAAAATAATGTGTTTGTCGTCCTGCAATAATATATGTTTTCAAGTCTCCTGATTTATACATTTTCTTGAACAGCCTCGGTCGAAGACTTGATGTCATAGCGAATCAGGATAAATAAAGCACAATAACCTCAACTGTCTTTAATGTAAAATAGCTACACAAAATCTCGATGCAAGTATCTCCACTTCTTATGTGGATTTCTCAGTTCATCAATGACTCCAAGTGGCAGAGGGTTATCGAAAGACGGTTTAAATGTATGTTCTAACGTCAGCTCTGGCGAAGTATCCCAAGGCGTATCTGTCGGATAAATTGTTCTCTGGTCAGAACTGCTCTATCCTTATATTCAGTCTTTTATTATGTAGTTCGCGAAAAACGCCCATCCATAACTGTAGATGATACTTACCTTCTCTAATCTCCTTCCTCGGATCTTTTTGTTTTGGAATTGGGACTTCGATGTCGGTCCCTGCAATATATCTACGCCAACGAAACTCGCCCTTCCCTATTGAAAGGTCTTCGATCCGTCGCCAGTGTACGCGGACCGCGCGTCTAGATTTGATATTTTGTTTCCCGACCATGTGTTAAAAACGTTATTTAAACATCAACGGATGTTTTAAACAACTTACTTTTCAGAAGCTTTCTTTGTATCGCTATAGGATGGCGAGCACATCTTCTTGTGAGATGGGTTCCTTGCGCAAAAATTGATCAAGTTACTAATACTCCTCATTAATCTTACTCATTTGCATCCTCGGGATGAACCAGTAGTACGTTTGTGACATGGATAGGTTTCTCGAACGTCTGCATCCACCATGAACCAATGTTTTTAGAGTCCTCTGGCGTATCTTCTGCTTGAATGTAGCTTGCTGTTTTTTTCCCCTATTAATCGCAGAATGAATTGAATTGTTCGGTTTTCGGTTTTTACTTTTCTGATAGAAGAACTTGTGGGGTGTATTACCAAATTGACATTATCGAGGATGATTCTGTTGTTTAGTTTGTCAACTTCTCTAACGGTTCCAATCTCCCCTTTGGATGCACCGCTTATTACTTTAACCTGTCAATAAATGAAGATTAATAATGATGCTGATAACGGAATGCCCCAGAGCAACAGATTAATTATGCAAAAGAAAACTTACTTTATCGCCAATCATAATCTTCCAATGAGCTACTCTGTCTTTTGGATGAGTCCATCGGTCCTTAGGGACTAGACGACGACTAGCCTTTGCATTTTTAGTAAACTTGGTCCATGTCTGTCGAGCCATGTGGGCCAGCGGGCCTTTTGGTTGTGCCATTGTGAAGTCAATGATTGCTTTTTCGTTGGTATTAACTTTTTGTAACTCTCGATCTCTGATCGACCAATCAAATTTCTCGATAGAATGAAACAGGCGTAATATTATCGCTTTACCTCCCCCAGAAAAGATTACAATAACGAGTGCATAATATGCATTTTTATTTTTTCATCAATGCCACAAATAGAATGAACGCATAAAGAGAAAATGCTGGACTCAAAGCTGTTACATTCCATTCAATCTTCGTTTTTTCTGCCACATGTATCCTTACAACATCTTTTCAGCAGAATTTTTGATGGCGCGATGCTTATTTTCTCTGAATAATCAGAGTTCAGCTCGGGCTTTAATCGAACCTCTTTTGACTGTTGATTGCCTGAGTAATGTAAATACGACATTGCTCAATTTAAACCCACTCGAAAACTATACGTAATTTCAATTCTCAACGTGTCATGTTCCATAACCTTATGAGTTTTGGCAGCATCAACGATACATCAACAAATTCACTTACTGACTTTGTGCCCATTCTCTGTATTAAGCCAGTTGGTTCTATTGATACAGACCATATCTACTTGTAAATAATTACAATTTTATTGTTGAACTAAGTGTCGCTCGTTCTAACATGCTAAGCAGATGTACAACAAAAGAGAGAACCCACAGCTATGGAATATGTAACAGTATTAACATTAAAGAAAGAAGGAAAATGAGAAGTGCAATGAATTATTATGATATGCAGTATTAGCATAGTAAGTATATTAATAATTACCAGATTTACTTGTCCGATGGGTTTCACAATTCTACTTTGTGCCGTTTAGTTGGAAAATGCAAGGAGTTATTTTATTGTTCTTTCGCACGCACACATGATCTGACATTCCCACGATAAAAGTTACGATCTGTTCGCCTTATTCCGATAATGTTTCGTTCAAAGTTGTTACTTAGACATGCAAAGGTTGCAGCATCATGTTTTCTATAACATTCTTGATGAATTTCTACCTACTGATTTTCTTATTTCTTCCAGCTTTCCCTTACCGGCTTGTCTCCTAAAGTGCTGCCAGCAATACGACTCCAACATCGACTCTATACATCAAGCTATAACAGGCATGTGGCTGGCCTGACTGATGAAGAGAATACGGTAATTTGATTATTAGAGATGACGAAACAATTGTAATAACGAAAGCCATCTGATCATGCCTTGTCTGTTTGAAACAAAGCTTCGCGAGACAGTACATGAGTTCTGTAATAGAGAACTTGCACCAAGAGCAGCTGAAATTGACAAGTCAAATGAATTTCCTAAGGTACTGTCACATTCAACTTCTACCATCGTTCTGGGTAATTTTGACATTTTTGTTTCTAATCTCACACCGTCTGCTTTGATATTGCCGAACCAAAATAAACATAGGACATGTGGCCCAAATTCGGTGAAATGGGCTTGTTAGGCATTACAGCGCCATCAGAGTATGGTGGGTTAAACCTGGGATATCTCGAGCATACAATTGTGATGGAAGAAATTTCTCGAGCATCCGGATCGGTTGCGCTCTCGTATGGTGCCCACAGCAATTTATGTGTCAACCAAATAGTACGTAATGGGAATGCAACCCAAAAAAAGAATTATTTACCAAAGGTAAAGAGTTGATGCATTTCTTGATGTGAAGGTTCCTAGGCCTTAGGGAAGCGACTGGTTAGTCAGTGATTGTCATACCATTCTATCAGCTTATTTCAGGCGAACACGTTGGAGCGCTTGCCATGTCGGAAACGGGATCAGGCTCGGATGTGGTATCGATGCGACTAAAGGCTGAAAAGAAAAGTGATTATTATGTTCTTAATGGTAATAAAATGTGGATTACAAATGGACCCGATGCTGACGTATTGGTCGTCTATGCTAAGACAAACTTCGAAGCGGGTGCACAGGGAATAACGGCGTTTCTTATAGAGAAGGTGATACGAAGATTTGCAATCTACTCATGAGTGTTTTTTGTATATCTTTCGTAACTGATTATAATATGATATTTCAATTTTCAGGGATTCAAGGGCTTCTCGACCGCTCAAAAACTTGACAAGCTTGGTATGCGAGGATCAAACACGTGTGAGCTTATATTTGATAATTGTGAAGTTCCTGGTATGTAATTAGTTACATGTATTGACCGAGTAATATGTTACTATAGGAATCTAAAATGACATTATTTTGTTATTTAAGCTGAGAATGTTCTTGGTGGAGAAGGGAAGGGAGTTTACGTTTTAATGAGTGGTCTTGATCTGGAAAGGCTGGTTTTAGCTGGTGGACCTTTAGGGTATGAGAATCGCTACCCCCCCCCCCCTCTTATCCATGTAGATTAATATCGCTAACGTCATATCGAATTTTGTTTATATAGGTTGATGCAAGCCTCTCTTGATATTGTCTTGCCTTATACCCACACTCGCAATCAATTCAACAAACTCATTGGTCATTTTCAACTCATTCAAGGGAAGCTTGCAGACATGTATACAAAGCTCAACGCATCCAGAACATACGTGTATTCCGTAGCCAGAGCGTGTGACGCCGGGCATATATCAAACAGAGTGAGCATCTAATTTATGTTACTTGTCATACGGCCCGTCGTCATAAATACAGTCTTAAGCTATAAATGCGACTGCTTTTCACAACAGGATTGTGCGGGTGTAATCCTTTATGCCGCCGAACGTGCAACAGAAGTTGCATTAGATGCAATACAATGTCTGGGTGGAAATGGTTATATTAATGATTGTAAGTATGAAGCGTAGAGGCGAAGAAAAACAATGAAAGAATATTATTCTAACGCGACCACGTCAATAGATCCAACAGGAAGGCTTCTACGAGATGCCAAACTGTATGAGATTGGAGCAGGGACAAGCGAAATTCGACGCCTAGTAATAGCAAGGTTAGTTGTTCTGATAACTTATCCATCCAGCCTGTGTTTAATTTTTTTTTTTTTCTTCTTTAGGGAATTCAACAAAGAGTACGGAGAAAGTTCTTAATCAAAGATTCCGAACATTAATAGACATTGGGCTTTGATGACTCATAGAGATGCGAATTAATTTTAATCAGGATAGATGTTAGAAATAACATGACAATCATTTGTTATCTGCATATGATAATAACACTAAAGAAAAAGACTGTTAACCAATTTATTTGGTTTACGCAAATTTATTAAAAAATTTGTGTTGGTAAATTAGTTATCAGAGCAATTTAACTAATTCGAAGAAAACTTTTGTTTAAATATTAACAACACGTTCTCATATATTGTTATCGGTAGTCACGTCAAGCGTATTTTCTTTCTTCTCGTCTAATGCTGCTGTTAAATCATCTTTTGCCTTAGCATAATTAAACTCCATTGCCATCCGTATGTATGGACACCTCACAACACTTAAATGTTCAATCAACTAATTCTGGGTCTACAGCATCCCATGCACGTTTAACCTAATTTGCCATGCCATAACAGAACAAGAAGGCCTGCGAATACGTCCAGATGGAGTTATTGATGTGCTTCGCTACTTTACACAGGCATACTCAAAATACTCGACGCATTCCAACGATTTTTAACTTATCCGTCCTCACATAAATCTTCAAGGTCGCAGGGATTAATCGAATCTTGAAAAGTTGAGCTTGCAGAACTGAACAAAAAGAAATTTAAAGGTAAGTCTTGAATTGCGCGGTGGGTCCAAGCTCTCTGTTGTTGTGTTCTAGCTCTTAAAGCTTCTTCACATGCCTGTGTTTCATTCATTAAGGCTTGTCTAGTCGCTTATAACTAACAAAATTAGACAGACGCAGTATCGCAAAGTTTTACTGTACAAGTTCTCAATATTTATCCTGCAATAATTAACGAACATCATGTTTCCTACATACTCAAGCGACTAAAAGGTAAAGTATATCGTATTTAATTGGAAAAAGAGTAAATCCTTGAAATAAACTCAGATGCGTGTTTTTTGCATGTATAGATCGTTACAAAAAAATACGCAACAGTCCCGAAAACTGTAAGTAAACTGCGAATTGCAAGTTTATTCAAAGAGTGTTTGAGTCGCTAAATTATAAGCAGTGGACGATGTTAATATTGTGCATTGATTCATTGTATCAACATGTAACCTCATACCTGCAGCTGAATCCAAATCATAACTATTTCTCGGTTCAGGCAAATCTCCAGTAGGTAAGAGCGTACTAGAATATTTACTCTCCTTCTCGAGACGTGATAAAGGTTTCACATCATTATGATAAACGGCATTCCATATGTCAGAATTGTCGTATTCCACATCTTTAGTAAGGTAGTAAATATCCCAATAAAGTGTGTCTGCATCTGGACGCTTATCAGGATCAGCATCACAACACCACTCGGCAAGTTTCTTGTATTCCTCTGGTGCGGAATCA